TTTTTTACGTGCACTTAAGATGTTAGCTGTGTTGACTCATTTGCTTTCCGTCTGTGCCTGACGACGACTCGGGGAACCGGCGTCGAAAATTTGCACAATAAACCTCCTTTCCCAAAGCACGCGTTCGACTTCGACTTATATTTCTTGGGATGCCTACCTTCCAACATATATATATATTTAGACGGTTATAGGCAGAGCCCTTGATGACCCTATTTATGTACAGTGCTTTCGCAGCTTCGTACTCAAAAATAAAGTTGCAGGCATTTACAATGTGATCAAGTCACAGTTCAATCGTAATCATAAGATAGTGCATAAGGTCACTGTAAATAATTTCGGATGGTTTTTTACGAAAATGGCTGTGCATAGTCATGCTGTAAAAGCCGACGTCTGTCAAAAACGAGACGAGCAAGTTTTCTTTTTAGTACACAAATTGTGCCGGCCGTCATCATCTTGCTTGGAAGCGAGTTCCACGGTCGGACGACCCGCTGGCTGAATGAAAATTTTCGACGATCTAAGCGCATGCGCTCATTCACGACTTTGTAGGTATGGCCGCGTAGTTGGTTTGTACGGCAAACTCAAAATGTCCTCTGCTCTTAATGAGCAAACCTGTCCGCGGACTATCCGGAACGTCCAAAGTAGACTGCAGTTTAGGTGTCTATAAGAAAGCGGGAATAAGCCAAGCAAATTCAGCCTCTCCTGATAAGATAAATGCTTTAGACCGTCTACCATCTTTGTGGCTCTGCGTTGCACCTGTTCGAGTCAGTCGATATCCGCCCTCATTCATGGTGAAGATGCTGGCATTCCATACTCCAGATGAGATCTTACAAAGACACCAAAGAGTATTTCAAAGAGTTCGGGAGGAAATATTTTAAATGCACGTCTGATACAGTGTAAAGTACTAGTTGCCTTCTGGACCATCTTTCTGCAGTGTTCTGATGGCGATAGATTTGTGGTCGTCCATACACCCAGGTCTCTATGTCTTTCCACCGTTTCTAACCTCGTCCCGTCAATATAGTACTGGTGTTTGGGAGAGGCATTGCGGCCGGTGTTCAGGTGCAAGACTACGCATTTGGACACGTTAAACTTCAAAAGACATCTGCTCGACCAAGCACACAGTTTGTCGATGTTCGACTGCAACTTCTCTGCGTCATCATCACACTTGACTTCACTCCATATTTTTATGTCCTCCGCGAACATGAGGGCCTCGCAATTCACTTCGCTGATGTAGTCATCAACATAAATCAGGAAGAGTACTGGGCCTGAGACATAACCCTGTGGGACACCACTTTCCACCTTTGCCCATCCCGACGTAGAGTTGCCAACAATGATCCTTTGTACTCCGGAGGACAGAAAACTTTTGATCCATTTAAACACTCTTCCTTGAATTCCTATATCCCAGATATTTTGTGAAAGAAGCCTGTGTGGGACACTGTCAAAGGCCTTCTTGAAGTCAAAAAATGCGTTCCATTATTTTACAGGCGATGCAAGTAAGACTGACGAGACGATAATTTCCGCAGTCAAGCCTTGAGCCTCCTTTGTGGATCGGAGTAATGAGTTCGCGCTGCCATTCTTCCGGGAGCTTGCCGTCTTCAAATGACTTTTGAAATATTGCGGATAAGGGCTTGCACAGTTCATTAGCAAGTTCGCGAAGTGCTAGTGCGGGAATTCTATCTGGACCAGGTGATCTGGCAGGTTTCAGCCAGAGTAGCTCAGCCCTAACTAGTCTAGTTACTGACAAACTTATAACAACACTTCTATTTTGATTTTAATATTGTGTAAACCGTATTTAATAAGGTTTTCCGAGGCAAAGCGCATCACCACCTAACATACTAATCTACTGTACGTTCACTTCTTAGGGCATGCGATAGTCGTCGCATTCGACAGACGACCTGCCAGTTTGCACTAGCCAAAGAATGGAGTGTTTAAGTGGGATATGAAAGATTGTGAATGTCTGGATACATGTGCTTGTGCATGATGTGTCGGTCAGGCTGTAAGGCCAGGGAGTTTGAACTCGCTTTCAGGGAAGGCGAGTGGTCCTGACGTAGTGGGACGTTGAAAAAAGACGTCGAGCACCGTAATGAAGGCAATCGGCTATACTTTTTAGCTTTTTTTCCTGTAATGTCTTGTCAGTTTAAGTTCTCTTCCACGTAAAAGTCCAAACTTCTCTGTCGTAATTAGTGCGTTTCGGTGCAATTTATGGCTCTTAGTAAGCTATCACCCCTTTAACTGTGTTGCTCTACTTGCCTCATCTTCTAAATGTATTTATTGTCTGACTGAAAAGTTTGCTGTCTTGCTATCCATTTGTCCTTTGGGGAGACAGAAGCTGAACAGTAATCCTTATTTGGTTTAGGGCACAGTTTACTCAGAATACTGCAGACCCCATAACAACTAGTATAAACGGTGTGGGCCACCGTCTTAATAATTTTCAATAAGTTACTAAAACCGTGAAAGAGAGCCTTTGAAAGCTTCATCATTGCCCAACCACCCTCAGAGAACTTAAGCCACATTTTAGAAGCTTGTGAGGTGCGAACATCCGGCAAGGAGAATCATGTCTACTAACGGTTGCGCTCTAAGATGATCGCACTGGTTAATAAAGTTGCTCCGTGGCGCTTGTTTCTTCTAAAGCCTGGCAATGAATCGAAAGAACCAAAAGGTTGTACGAGCAAAAAAGAAAATATGTCTGAAAATAATTTCGACTGTGGATGTAAAGTAAACAATCTAGCAAAAGAGACGGAAGTGCGAAGGATAATAACATACATGTGTCAATAGATATAAGCGAGACGACGTTATCTTAGACAGCCGATCGGTAGTTAAAATCATATTCATATGCAAGGTGACGCTCGACTATAAGTGGCTTGAATAAAAGAGACACAAAATGGCGTAAAGCTAATCAGTGATTTAAATTAAGAGAACTTACTGATATCGAACAAATGAAAATCCGAAAGGCGAAAGAGAGGACGGGTCGTCAGGACGGAGAAGGAAGGGGTTACTATGCCTGACCCTCAGCCCACCCAACCGGTCAATCTGCAGTAAACACACACACACACAGAGTTGTCCTCAAGGTTTGAGCTACATAGTTCGTTCGCAGCCTTCCAAACTACGACTTTTAGCGTACAGGGATACATCCGGGCACGTCAGATTTATTATGGTGAGAAGTATGCCTAAGTGACGCGGGAGTGGGGCTCCCAGAACCCGTCCCACTCTCTCCCTCTTTCTACCCTCTCCTACACGCCAGTCGATTTTTCGAGCTGGTCAGTCAATTTATGTTGACAATGGACGCAGTGACTGACAGAGCTAAAACAGCTCGCCCGCACGTGCTTCACACGATCTGCCCTCCTTCAGCACAAAACACGCCAGGTTTTCAAACAACGATAGTGAGCCGTTCGGACCTCACGGGCTTTATGGTACCATGGAGGCCATAACAAAAGAACGAGTCGGAGAACACGCTTCTCGCTTACGTGAGAAGTGCCCACGCTGTGTCTTTTTAGGTGATGTGGGAGGGGTTTGTGTGAGATGCATGAGCTAGTAGAGAAATGCTCGGTGGTGGGGTTTGTTCGGAGGTGGTTTACCACAGGTTTGCGTGGAGGCGCACGTGGCCGAGTAGGTTCATGCGGCTGCTGAATATGCGTAGTCACTGCAGGGATTTAAGGCGGGCATGATGGGCGGACGTTGGTTCGTTTGGCATTGGCTCACTAGTTTCAGTGCGGTGGACTCTCAAGTGGCCTATCATGCCAATACGTAGTGTTAAAATACGACCGCGACGAGGACGGATTAAGACTAAGTCCATATTGCTGGTGGTTGGTAGCGGGTGTCAGGAGTGTTATCGCCGGTAGTGAGACTGGGAGAGGTGGTAGTCCCTGTCGTATCGACGTTATTTTCAACGAAATTGGAGGTGGTGTTGGGCGACAACGACGACGACGGTAGTGGGACGTCAGGAGGGTAATTATCGGTGGTGGTGGTGGTGGTGGTGGTGGTGGTGGTGGTGGTGGTGGTGGTGGTGGTGGTAGTGGTGGTGGTGGTGGTGTCGGTGCTGGTGCTGGTGCTGGTCGCCGTCGTGTACGTCGTGAGGCTGGTGCAGGGGTGACGATAGTGACGCTTGCGAGGGCAGCGGGTGGAGTTATCGGCTTGCTGTCGCCTCGGGTCCGGTGATGTCCGAAGAGGTGGGTCCGCACGCGGAATATTTGACGACAGTGTGGACACGACGGGAGGGGTTGGGTGTTAGGGTTGTTGGTCCGCGGCGCTTGACGCGTGCAGGTCGCTCATTTGGCTTGGGAGACAGAAATCATGTTGGTTTCGTATATTGATTCTGTATTTTCCCTGCTCTTCTCCAGGTCAGTCGATTCTGGGCGAGGTTTTCCCAGGTCTCCGAATGAGTTTCCAAAGGCTTGACGGAGGTTTTCCGAATGGCCTTCGTGTCGGCGAGCATCCATAAGGATGTAGTCTAGGAACGGTCGCCTGGGCAGGCGGTCGTCCTCCATCCTTACGAGGTGGCCTCTCCAGCGCAGTTGCAGTCGCCCAGCATACTGAGGATTCCGTTCCATTCCAGGACTTACTCGTCTGGGGTCCTGTTTTGCAAGCTCATCTTTAAAATTTTCTCGAGACTGCTGAGGTCGAAGTGATTGAGTTTCCTGGCCTGATTGATTTGGGCGGTTCATGTCTTCACTTTATTTTGTAGCATTGGGAGGACAGTGGCATAAAGGTCGCCGTGTCCTTCGCTAGGGGACAACTGGTGCAGGACCACCGTTTCATCTCTGTTAATATTCATTTAGAAGTCTGCACAACCAGAGGCAAATAGACAGCTATTCCGTTTCATACCAGTGCTCGCGGTGTTGAGCGCGCAGCCGTCCGCAAAAAATAGGTCGTGAATGTCAGTTCTGAAGAGATGCGTTAGAGGTTGCATGCCCTGGGTCTTGAGAAGGACGCCGCCATTAAATTTCCGTATCCGCTCACACTTCCTCTTTTTGTCTGTAATATCGTTTCCTGGGATCCCTCATCTTCATGCATCGTGCCCCTCACAGAATGCGCTTTATCGAAGCTGTTGGCGGGACTCTCCGTATTCGTCATATACCAGTAGTCTGGTCGCATTTCCCTTGCTCCCTCCTCAGATGGACTCGAAGCTGACTGTAACCGATCGCATCTGGCTTCCTATCGCCTCGAGACTGATCTTCTATTCGCCGCTTTGACGTGAATGGCCTAATCCGGCATAGGAATTCTGCCTAGATTATGTCCGTTTCGAACCTCTTACTCAATACCATATACAGGCCAGTCCTGACTAACCCGCCTACTTACCCCCAACTCTTCCTTAATTGTACCTCCTCCAGATTCCTACACCTCTAATCGCTCCCTTTTTTCGCTTCCAGGTATACTTTCCTCTGGAATAACCTTCCAATAAATATAAGATCTTCAGATAATCTGCACACCTTTAAGAGAAGGCTACGCCTTTATCTAAATACTGACTCAATTAAAGTTTTATTTTCCTAATCCTTCCCAGACAGCTTACTCTATGACACTGAGAAATGTCCACTGGGAATTTAGGACGCCGCCGTAAACTTTCCGTATCTCTTCACATTTCCTGATTTTGTGAGTCGTATCGCTTCCTAAGATCCCTCACCAGAAATGTTAATTTTTCCAATTTTTCAATTCATGCATCGTGTCTCACACAGAATGCGCTCCATCGACGCTCTTGGCGATACCTTCTGTATTCGCCATATACTAGTAGTCTGGTCGCATTTCCCTTGCCCCCACCTCGGATGGACTCAGCTGAATGTAACCAATCGCATCTGGGTTCGTATTGCCTCGAGACTGGTCTTCAGTTCGCCACTTTAGCATGAATGGCCTCATCCAACATATTAATCCTACCTTGATGATATCCGTTTCGAACCTTTTACTCAAGGCCACATAAAGGCCAGTCCTGCTGATCCGCCTACTTACCCCTTTATTAAATCCGTTATACAATGCCATATACGGCGACGATTTTCGCGGTTCTTTATGTCATCTGCCGCATTTCGAGCTCATGCGGTCTGTCGACTTTCACGTTGAAGCACTTAGCATTCGCCGTCTACTAGTAGCTTGGTCGTGTAGTGTAAACGGCAATTAAACTACAACGAATAATAAATACCTAACTCTAAGTGGGGGATGCTGTGTTTATTAAAAGAAAATTAACGATGGTAAAAGGAGTATAAGAAATATGACAAAGGGTAAATAATTGTACAGACTCACGCAAAATAAAGCCTTTTCCAGAATCGTTGGCCGTAGGGTGAATGTTCTGGGTAAAATCCCGAGACGAAGTCAGTTATTGAGGCTTTTCGCTCGGGGGAATTTACTTTCAGTTAAATATGGCCAAAAGATCTAAAAGTTTCGTGTCGATTGACAAAAAGCGATTGAGGCAAATGAGTGAAATAAACGAAACAGTGACACCAAGCAACAGACGAACTGTAACACCCCAACAGAACTGACGGACAAAAACTCTTTTGTTCTAATCGCGACCACTCTTTTGTAGGTCGATCGTGAGGACTGATCACCTGTGAACGATCGTCGACGGCCGTCGTCCCGATAAGTCCCATCTTGAACACCTTTCACTTATCTGCTTTATTGTACAGTTACGCTTACATGGTTTGCTGTGTCGTTTCCCTTCAGTTTTCCTCGCCGTGTTCCGCGTGTACCCATACACCCTCCGAACTCCTAACGTTTTCACTCATGACGGTTTTTCCGCCGTTTGCTGTGGTTCATCCTTTTTCAACACAGTTACATAATAAGTTTTAGTTATACTCTTCCTCTCTTATACAATAAACTGCTGCATTTCCCAACCGTCGTTTAACACCCCCCACTGACTTGTGTGACTGTATGCGAATGCTTGCGTAATGGACATCTTATGCTCGAATACTCCCGATCCAGAATCACTGACCAAGAAGAGGAAGCTATACTCGGAATCGAGCGATCTACCGGCAGTACCCTCCCCGAGCTCGCGAGATATTACAATGGTGGCAGCGGTGGGATGGAGAGGAGCACACACCTTCCCCCCCTCCCGAGCACCAACTCCAGCAGCACTGAGGACAGTGCTGCATCTCAGGAGGAGGCTATGTAACGCCCCTGGACTTGAACAGAATTGTTTGAACGTGTGACACTTTTCCGCGCGAGGACCTAGGGTGGAGATGGCGTAACCGCATGTCAGTGAAGATGGCCGGTGTCCCTTCCGCTATCATCCGGCACCTCCCTCGGCCCTTCCCTGCAGTTGCCGACAGCGCTGCTCTCCCCACCGGTTATTTAGCTGGCATGTCGGTATCGCCTATTCACCCAGACAGGTTATCTGGTGGCTGTAACTCATTCCAACTGTACGAGAAACTATTATTACTATACTCATCTCCCATGACCTTCTTGTTATACTTTACTGTATTCCGTTCCTGACGTAACCTCTTCTGCTGTGTGTGAATGAGTATTCAGAGATGCTAACGACTCTGTTCAGATTTATCTCCTCCAGGATCTAGTCTCAGCGTTCTCTTACTTTGGTGTGTGCTACCCTTGACGTCCTCGGTCGCTACAGGACACAAAGTCACGTTTTTTTACAAGTCTAAAACCAAATGTATGTTTTTTAGTTAATTTAAACAACCGTACAGAAACGCTCAGATGTACAAGAAAGCTTGGAGTGAAGAATCGAAAATGTGCGTGAACCTACAGTCTACCTCCCTTCCCCACTCCTCGGCTGCACTCGAAGCATACTGTGACCGATCGCGTCTGGGTTATTCGTCTGGCCTCTTGGACGCGAATAGTCTCATGCGGCGTATCAATCCTGCCCTGACCATGTCAGTTCTGAATCGCGTATACAATAACTCATGCATTCCAAGCCTATCCGACCCGCAAACGTACCCCTCAAAGCTGACATTTATTTCTGCCCTCACGATGTCCGATTATAATCCGTTATATATCGCCACATGCAGGCCAGCCCTGCCCGCATTTTTCTGTTAGTATTTTTTAGCGATGGGTTTTTTTTTCTCCTGTAGAATTAATCCAATCATTTTCAAGTTTTTAAGTGGGGGTTTTTTCACCTCTCGCTAATCATTTTTCTTAACGGACCACAAATTCAGAAACTATGAATTGCATTTTGTACAGATTCTGCCTATCTCGTCTAAAATTCGCATGTAACTTTAGTTTTACTTGCTTTGATGGTACTCCGACGGGTCTTTAATAAAAAATTATTATGTCCAACCCGGAAGTGTGAAACACCTGGACCATGATCCCACGACCTGTTGGTCAGAAGTTCAAGGCCTCTAACCACTGAGTTACGCCCCCGTTGTCTTGTCGGTCTTGTCTGTCGGGAATACACAATTGTAGAGAGGCGCTCACCTATCGTTTTACAGAACTTTCTCCTTCTGTTGTGACATGGGACTCTCTCTCTCTCTCGAGCCCCACAAGCAGCCACTCAGCTGTTCAGTTCAGTTCAAATCAGTTTATTGAGGGAAATAGGCGTAAGCCTTTGAGTACCCTATTTGCAACGCAAAAAATGTGTGTTGTTCAGACAGATGTTCTGGGCTGAAATAGTTCTAACACGCCCTTAATGGTGGGACAAAATGAGAAGGAGTTACAGGGGGTGAGCTCGACTTCTCATCGCTCTTGGCCATTTCGGAACATAAATATGTCCAGATTCTTCTTAAAACTTTGTATAGATGGTGACATCGCAACATCTGCGGGAAGCTCATTCCATGGTTGGACCACCCGAACCGAGAAGGAGAACTTCCGCACATCCAGCCGTGCCTGCTGAGTGCGCAGTTTTAACGGGTGACCTCGGAGGTTGGTCGTGGTAGCAAATTCAAAAAAGTTCTCGAAGGCCAGAATGCAATCCAACCCCTTTATAATACGGAAGGCTTGCAGGAGATCCCCACGAAGTTGCCTGTAACTCAAAGGAAAGAGGTTCAGATTTACTAGGCGGGTTGCATAAGGAAAGGAGCTTTGACCTCTAACCATCTTCGTGGCTCTCCTCTGGACTCTTTCGAGGCAATTTTGATCCTCAACAGCCCACGGCCTCCAAGCTTGTATGCCGTACTCTAAATGCGGCCAGACGAATGTTCCGAATGTCTTAGAGAAAGCTTCTTCGTCAAAGTCCATAAACGCACGCTTGATGGCGTACAGTACGGACATTGCGCTTTTTGCCACCCTCGAACAGTGGGCGGATGGTTTTAGGGAACTCGTCGTAAGCACACCGAGGTCCTTTTGGGCTTCGACCTCTTGTAGGGCTGCACCGCCCAGAAAGTAGCCTGTTGTGCTGGCGGATCTGGCTGTGTTGTCTAGGCATAGTATGCTACATTTGGCAACGTTGAACCGCAGGAGCCAACGGTTTGATCACTCCTCCAACCGATTCAGGTTTATCTGCAGTCTGTCTTCATCAGCAGGACCCCGAATTACACTCCATATCTTCATGTCATCCGCAAACATTGCTACTTCACAGTCTAAATCTCTTGCGGCATCGGCCACGTAGATAAGGGACAAAATGTGTCCCAGTACTGAACCCTGGGGGACACCACTATCGACCTTAGCCGGATCTGACTTTACCCGACCGATTCACACAACCTGGTGTCGACCCACAAGGATGTTTTCGATCCACTTAAGGAAGTTGCCACCGATCCCTATTTTTCGGCTTATGTAAGAGCCTTTGGTGTGGCAC